AAAAGTATTTGGTAATAAACTAACGTTGAACACACTATAACTATACACGGTTCGGATTCAAGAAAGTTTATAATTATAGGATATTGGCTTTACGCGTAGTTATATAAAATGTAAAATATTGTATCTTATTTGATTTTTTTATTATTAAAAATCGGAATGCTTTTATGTTTTTGTTTTATAGTTTTGAAAAGTAATAATGAATTATAAAACTAATTTATTCATATTTATTTACCAGTGAATTTTTACTTTTCTAATAACTGATTAATATTTTTCGGTTAAAATTCCATACGGCAATGAATAAAAACTCGATAAAAGTTTTTCCAGTTTATCAATATTTTGTTTTTGAGTGCGCAAACTATTTTCATAGAACTCATCTTGAATAAAAAGAAAAAGATTTCTTACCGTATCACAATACATATTTATAAAATATAATAAATCTTTTTATTTATTTTTAAACATACTGTTTAGGTTAACCAACTGATTATTAATTGATCACGAATTGTATAGATTTACTTATTTTATACCTTATCCCATAATTGTAATTATATTTTAATTTTATTCCATTTTTTTAAATTCAATAAATATTATAATATATAAACTCGCTGTTTAATCGATAATACATTTAATTTTAGACATAAATCAATGAACTGCACAAATGCGCAATTATATCATTCGATAGTATATTTTGAGTGTAATTTACTCGTACCTTTGTCACATTTTATGAAATATGCATGATACAATTTTAAAATTGAATTGTTACGGAAACAGTATTCATCAAATAGTTTTTTACAAAGATTTAATTATTAATTAGGTAATATATTATAATATTGTATGTTAGTTTAGTTCAAATAAGTACCTACGCTTATTTAATTTTTTTATTTAAAATTGTATACATAAATAAAATATTTTGTTAATGCATATCTTTAGCTTATAAATTTGATTATATTCATATTCAAATCGAATATGATATTATATTATTATACACAAAACTTAGGTTTATAAAATTTATTTATCACTGCTAATGACTTAAAAGTTATTATAGAACATTTAAATTGTAATTTATAAATGCTTTCACAGTATTAGCTTCAATCAATATACCAAAATATGTGTAAATAATAATAATAGTAGTAATAATCATAATAGCTAAAAGAAAATCTATTAAATTACAAAGGTGCAGGTATTATTCGAATTTTCAGAACTAAACAAATATGAATATGAATAAAGTTCAATTTGTATACAAAGCATAGCTATTAACGAGTTTTGAGAAACCTATTCATATATATAATGAAATTTAGAAAAATAATTTATCAAATTTTTATTTGTATACGACCAAACATTATAGCGTCAATTTTATCAGTTTACTATAAGTGAAATTCTAAAAAACCTAAATATTATTAATTCAAAATCAGTAAAAAAACAACTTTTTAACTTTTTTTTGGTTGATATTTTTTCATATACTTGTATTTTTATATAATATAATAAATGTATTAATATTTATATATATACATGTTTTGTTTACTAAACAAAATAATTGTAGATGTTGCAATTTAATACTAATTATAAACTACGAGCTGCAGCTGAAAATATTATTCATAGTTAATATTTAATAATACACATTCGAAAGGAATTTGTTCCATTGGAAAATTCATACCACATCAAGTTTAATTAATTAAAATGTCAATTTAGTTATAACTTATTGTTATTGAAACTATATGATTTTTAAATTTCCTACTGAAAAAGTAACTTTTCATTTACGTACAATTTATTTAAAATTGTCCAAATTAAAATAGTAAATGTTGTGAAAAATTAATGCTTTTAAAATTTATGATATTTCAACAAAATTTTCAGACGATAAATACTTAAATCGCTGACAGTTTTTAAATAGTTCCAAAATGTCTATCAAATGTTAATGTATAATGCAGTTAACATTTGAGGGCTCTTTCTTAGATTGTTATTTTACTGAATTACAACAAAATAACTAAAATAGATCGTGTAAAATACGGCATTGTCGTAAATTTTACTGTCTATATTCTAAACATTTTCTCGAATACTTGCTACTGAAAAATTCCAAAAAATATCTTCCTGAAATAACATCTGTGTTCAGTTTTCAATTGGTGAAGTGACTATATAAAACTTTTGGACAACTACTCCGGAGAAAAAAAATACCATCTCAGACAAAAATAAATAAAACTCTTCGTATAGTTACGTAACTACATACCTACTCGTAATATTATAAATTTTTCACTTCGTTCAGTCTAAATATTATTAAAATAACATTAATTTTAGGTTTTATCTTATTATTTTTTGACTAGTTACTATGGTTCTTATATTTTAAATATGGTTAAAAATATTAAATAATTGAAATATTGTTATTTAGACAGTTAAATATCAAACAACCAAATCGTTATTATTATTTTTTTTTTTCACATCAAAATAATAATATTTTTTTATCATTACTCAAATAGCATTAATAGTTACCTACTTGAAAACAATAACGTAAAAATATAGAGTATATAGTATATACCTATCATAACATAAATCGTTAGTATTGTAATACACATTTTAAATATTATTTACTATTGGATTTAAAATTAAAATATATTTTATGTAATGCATATGACTAATTTATCGCATTCTTAGCTCATACAAATTCATTATTTTAAATTTATATCTTCTTTAGAACTACTATTGTATTGTTAGTACTTGAATTAGTAAATTATTAAAACAAACTTATGACATTATTGTTACACAATTCGTATCAATTTATAACAATATAAGTAATAACTTATCATTCAATAATAAATTATGAGTATGATTCCATATAGAAAGGTGCCGTAAAGTTACGAAAAAAATACAAACGAGAAGATTAATTTTCCGTCAATTAATTTTCAAATCACAATTAGTTGAAATTTCAAAAATGTATGCGTGTATAAATATGTATGGTTGATAACTATAATATTCATAATGTTATGTTAATCTTAATATTTTTATTGGACATAATATATTATGTACTTTTATACTTTGGATATCAATAAATAACCTTAATATATAAACATTTTGTAAGTACCTATCTATATGCATTTCATTATTATTATCATCATTATTTTATTTTTATTTTATTTTTGTTTTGTCAACGTAATAAAATCGTTATAGCGTAAAGAAAATTAACAAACTTTTAACCAATTACTTAACTCAAACTACTATTTACAAGAAAAAAAACTTTAAACCCATGAGATCATATACTTAAATTTTAGCAGTATTAAAAAGTATAGGGAACTTTTATTCCTATTGAATTACTTGCTGGGCAATAATTCTTCTAAACTAATTGTTCATCAAACGTGTACTAGCATGACAGTAAAAGTATCGTTCCACGACGCGAGGCTATGTCTAGATAATTTATTTCATCAATGCGATATAGTGTCAAATACCTGTATTAAACATTCATACTGACATACTATAAAACGCTTTTGAATGTAATCAGCATATTATAAGTAAATGTAGTTGACCGATAAATGAAATGTACTACCATGTGATGTGCGGTTTATTTATTTTACTCATAAATCGTGTTTTAATTTCTGTTTTTTCCTCTCAAAAATCGACGATACAATGATATTTTTTCTTTTCAGCATCAAGTAATCGCCAATATCATTTTATCGTCGAGACCTTTTATTTTTTGTATTTCTTAATTTTTCTTATTTACGTTAACGGTTTTATGTTACTAAGCATTTCATGAATAAAACATTTTGTTTAAGTCTACGATAATTTTAACAATATTTAATTTTAAAATATGCATTTTGTGATGTGCGTTTGACAAGTCTTGTTTTAACATTTATGACTGTGTAGATTCCAACTTTATAGAATGATGGATATGTGAAAAAAGAGATTTTGTTTAGTCAACTTTTTATTTTTATTCTAAACTTTTAAACTTTAAAAAGTAAAATACGCCACAGTCCGATACCTAATCCGCTGACATATTTCAACCAGGGATAAATCTAAAAGTGTCGAGAGGCAAATATTCTACCTCCTAGAATCCAGAGATGAACCACACATATTTATAATCTAATTATATGATTATACATAATATATAAAAAAAAATCAATAAGAACACGTGACGAATTATATACTTTTATTATATGAATAATATTTAAAAATAATGTACAGGATAAATATTATAAATATTTGTGCGGTACACATTCAAAAGAATGTGAAAGAATGACCTCGATTTTCATCTCTCCTGAACTTAAGATTACACATAAATGTACGTATAAAGATATATTTATTGTCGCAAAAAAAGTAGGGCTTTAGGGGTTCAAGCCCTCTCCAAAAATGTTTAAAGCCCCATCAAAAATATTTTAGAAAGAAATAAAAATATGTTTAAATATAAATAGTAAAAATATTTTAATGGATACGGGGATATAAACTAAATAACGTTTGAATAATAATAATATATCATACACATTTTTCACGTGACAAATATTGTCTGTCGATAACATTACGTTTACGATAAATCATAATTTAGAAACCTGTCATAATTTTGATGATTCGTGTCATATTTATATAAACTTTTCTAGTGTGCCACTTTTAAGCAGTAAATATTAAAAGAAATATTTCAATTGCTTATAATAATTTTTTATAAACACATTTAGAAAAAAAAAAAAACATCGTTTTGTAAATTTTAATATTATTTTATTTGCGATGTATGTTATTTGTTGTAAATGTTGTAATAAAGTTATATAAATAATTTAATTTCAAACCAAAACGTATAATGTTTATAAGATTAAGTGATTCTGATCCGACCAACGGACGGCGGAACATTTTTTTTCGCGTCATCGTCACGTCTTCTATGATACACCATATTATGTGATCAACCCTCTCTCGAGTAAAAAATCAAATTTGTCTGCATTTTTCACATTATACGTATAGACGGCGTAAGACGTCGTAAGACACACAATATAGGTCTATACCAGAAGACATTATGTGAATAGGCGCATTGTACTAACCACGCAGTCCGCTGTTATACGGCGGTGAATCGGTATCGTAATAATCTGCTGGTTACGACGATTCCGTTGCGGATCGGTCACTCGCGTGTACGGCCATCGCACGGGAGACACTCGGTCGAACAGTGAAAGACAACGATGGCGCAACTGACAGGCCGAAATATTTCTCTTCGGGTTGAGATGTGTCGGCGGTGACGCGGAAATGACTCGAAGCGACGTCCGCGGGACTTAGGCGATTTTCGCACGTACCTGCAGCATCCACGAATGCAGTACCGGTGCAACGTGTTCAGCGGGCGCGGCGCACGTGTAGTCCCAATGTCCGGCCGAAACGGCGGCGGCGTTGCAGGACGTCCGCGTGTTCATCTCTCGGCAGCCGAGTCGGCGAACGCTCGCAGACACTTCCGGCGACGACGTATGGAAAATATTTTAACGCTACGCAATAATTATTACACTACGCCAAACAGGTACCTCGGGGATAATGGGGTGGTGGGGGGGGGGGGGGGGG